GTGAGTGCTCATCAAGATCAGAACAGGGAGCTTCCCCCAGCCCTGCAGCCAAGCCCTGCACAGCCCAGGCAAGGATCTGGGCTGTGTTCAGTCCTGCTGGTGGTGCATGGAGAGGGACAGCTGTAGCATCAGGCTCTGCTAGCAGGTTTATCCAGTGCCAGACTGTGGGCTTTGCTACTGTGGCTTCCCTTTGCCTCTGTAGTGTAGTTGGGCCAAGGAGCAATTAATAGCTTCACCTTATCAGTGTGCAAAAGTCTGAGGACCACAGTCCTTGGCACTGGCAGGAGGTGGGGGGAGGGGGATGTGACTGAAGTCACTGTTTATCAAAAGACTGGGTCACCTTTGGGCTGAGTGGAAATTATACAGGCTCCAGCATCTGTTCCTCACTGTCACCTCCTCTGTTCCAGGTGACTTAACAAAATTTGGCCGTGGTGATGCCTCTTCCCCTGCTCCTGCAACAACTCTGGCGCAGCCTCAGCAGAGCCAGACCCAGACTCACCACACCACGCAGCAGACGTTCCTGAACCCGGCGCTGCCTCCTGGCTACAGTTACACCAGTCTGCCATACTACACAGGGGTACCAGGGCTCCCCAGCACCTTCCAGTACGGGCCCGCCGTGTTCCCTGTGAGTTTCCCAGAGGCGAGGTGTGGGATTTGGACAAGAAGGGTGGCACAGCAAAGCCTCTCCTCACTCTGTTCCTCTCTGTTCTGTAGGTTGCTCCTACCTCTTCCAAGCAGCATGGTGTGAATGTCAGCGTCAATGCATCAGCAACACCTTTCCAGCAGCCCAGTGGATATGGCTCTCATGGGTACAGCACTGGTAAGAGACCCCCAAGAGCACTTTCCACAGCAGCAGGGCTTGCTCCCAGTCTTACTGGCTGTGATAGGGACTGCTGTCTTACAGCAGCAATAGAGAAAGATTCCAGGGGTGCTGCTCCCAAGTAGTTTGATTATCCTTAGAAAGGCCCAGGATTGTTCTGCATCCAGATCTGAAGCAGGTTTGGGGGTTACAGATCACTTCATGCCCTCCTCTGTGCCCCCACAATCAGCTGTCTGGGCCCTTGGACTCCTATCAGAAGCTTAAGCTGCTGAATTGTTTGGTTTGTTGGTTTTTTATCTGCCTATATGTGATTAACAGAACAGCAGTTGTTCTGGATTTGAAGTTGTTTCCCACCAGTGTTTGGCAGACACTTTCTAGGGAAGTGTCCTTGATTCAAAGATGCAGGAAGGTCATGAACCTGCTGCCTGTCTTGGTATTTGGTTGATGTCTGGCTGACTTACACAGGGCTGCATTTGGCTCTCTCTACCAGTCTTAAAATTCCTTTTGTCACTTTTTTCACTGCATTAGAGCCCCTCAAGATAGTCTTCTCTCTTTGAGAAGATATTTCAGCTTTGTACCAGGTCACCTGGTGCTGAGTCCTTCAAACTGCTTTCATTTCAGCACTTTTTCCAGGTATTAAATGATGGCTGAGGTGTCCTCTGGGCCACCCTCTTTTATGGACAGCCAACACCCCATGGGGCTTGTGTTGTCAGTCACTGCACCAGCCATCCCAGCCTACAGCTGAGTTGCCTTTACATGCAATTGCCTGTTTTACACCAGAGGAGCTTTTGGGCTGTCCTTGCTGCTGTGCCACATGCTGTGGGTTTGTTTTCCTGTCTGTCCATTGTGTTCTCCAGCTCTCCTCAGACCTGTTGTTTTCCATGTGTTTCTCTGGGTGGCAGCCAGCCCTTCAGCTGGTTTCTGAGGGCATTTTGAAGCAGTGTGTGTCCAGAGCAAAATAACTTCTATGGGCACTTTGCATGTGGTCAGGCCAGTCTATCTGCACATCTCTGAGCACTGGAGCTCTCCACCAGGTGCTGCTCCTGCTGACCCACTGGCTGCTGCCTAACACCCACCTCTCCCTTCTCCCCAGGTGTATCCGTGACATCCAGTAATACAGGCGTGCCAGACATCTCGGGCTCTGTCTACTCCAAAACTCAGGTTAGTGTCTGTGTGCTTCCTGCATTGCCGGTGAGGAGAAGCCAAGCCTCTCTGGGCAATGAGGTCTCTTTCCCCTTGGATCAGACAGCCAGGGAGAAGGGAAATGCCTGACCTTTCCCAGCTTACAGCATTTCCAAGCTCAGAAAGAGCCATAGGAAGGGACTTTATCTGTTCTCTGTATCACAGGCTGACTCTGGGCCTGTGACGTGTTTGATAGGGAGGGGCACACTGCCAGCCTGGCTCCCCGCCCTTACTCTGCCTTTGGCATCTCCTCCTTAGCAATCCTTCGAGAAGCAGGGATTTCACACTGGAACCCCAGCAGCCTCCTTCAACCTGCCTTCGGCGCTGGGCAGCGGCGGCCCCATCAACCCCGCGACAGCCGCGGCGTACCCCCCCACCCCCTTCATGCACATCCTGACCCCGCATCAGCAGCCTCACTCGCAGATCCTCCACCACCACCTGCAGCAGGATGGGCAGGTAAGCCCCTTGCTGGGGTATCTCCCAGGGTTCTTGCTCCCCCTGTACTTCCCTGGTCCCTCTGTCCCTCCCTGCCTCCTTCCGGACACATGCAGTGACATGCACATGCTCACACCTGCACATACAACACAGGGCCAGTAAGAGGATGAGGAGGTGAGAAGGAAGGCCTGGGGTGTGCTCTGCCAGGGTGGGTGCTCTGCACAACGCCCCTGCTGCTGGGCTGCACCAGGTATGGCCAGGTAGTGCCCCCTCATGCAGACACATCTGGGGCACCCTGATCTCCCCCATCCTCAGAGGGGGCAGCTCCCCAGGCCAGCACCAAAGGGGTTCCTTGCCATAGCCACGACCCTACAGGAGCTTTCAGGTCTAACCGTGGATTTCTATTGTCATAGTTTGTCCCTTTATTTTACATATCCTGGTACTGCAACAGCTTCCATATTTGCAGATGATACTGTGCTGTCAACGCCAGCAGGAAGATCAGGTAATGAACTCTCTGAAAAATGCATTGCACTTGCTGTGGGCTCTGCCCCTGCCCCGAAGGCTCCCCAGGATCACATAGCCCCTTCCTTCTCCCCATGGCCCTGTGAGGAGAGAGGCCCTCAGGCAGTATGTGCACACACACACACGCGCGTGCAGACACAACCACACCGACCCTTCCTTCCCCGTGTCCCTTCTCCCTGCTGGCCTGGAGCAAGGTGTGCAGCCCAGGGAGGGTGCTGGGGGCACAGACGGTGCAGCTGCGAGGTGCTGGAGGCTGAGCTGGGCCCAGGCGTGCCAGCGTTACCCCGTGGGCAGGCTGGGGCCACTTCCCCTGCACTCACCACCCGCTTCTCCTGTGCCCTTTCCCGCAGAGCGGCTCCGGGCAGCGCAGCCAAGGCAGCTCCATCCCCCAGAAATCCCAGGCCAACAAGTCCGCCTACAACAGCTACAGCTGGGGCGCCAACTGAGGCCGGGCCCTCGCCACCACTTGCTTCCGGAAGAGAATCCCAGTGACCCCGATGATGAGGAAGGATCCCAGGGAGGAGAGAGCCCTGCGGCGGGGAGCGCCCGGGCCCCCAGCCCCAGCAGGGCCCCGCAGGGCAGGCCGCAGGCACCTCTGCGTTGTCTGTCTTCAGCCACTTTCCTGTTGTATGTAATATAGAATTTGTATTTTTTCTTTTTTTTTTTTTCTTTTTTTTTTTTTTTCTTTTCTCTCTCTCTCTCTCTCTCTCCGCATTCAGATCTGAACCGTTTGCCGTAGGGGCCTTTTTTGGTTTTTACTCCTTTCTATCCCCTCTCCTATCCCCAGAATCTCTCCGATCCAAAGGAGTGGAAGCTGCGAGTCGCCTACAGCAAACCCCCTTATTATTAGGATTAAGACCAGTAATTGATATGAGCAGCATTGTAAGATTAATTAGTTGAAGTGTTTTTTTTGTACCGTGTTCTAAATTTAATGGATAAATGTGTCTTGTATATAAAAACAAAAACCCCATGCTGTCCTCTAGTTCTCTCATTTCTCCCCCACCCCGCCGAGGGGTCCCCCCTGGTATTTTATGTTCTCCATCTGCGTCCCTCCATCCTCACGGGCCCAGAGTGCAGGTCCTGCCCTGCTTGCACGCTGTAAGTATCTTCTGCTTTTGGGTTGGGGATTTTTTTTATTTTCTTTTATTTTCCCTTTTGTTTTGTGGGGTTTTGTTTGGTTTGGTTTTTTGGGGTTTTATTTTTGGTTTTTTTTCTATGCAGTCCAGATCTTGTATTTTTCAGTTCCACCTGATCCCTTCAGCTGCAGCCCCGAGCGGGGATTTACTGAAGAGAATAAAGATCACAAAGTGATGTGTGTATTTTTTCCACCTTCTCAGCCTCATTCCCTATTTTTGGTGCAGGGGGTTGGGTGGCCCTGGGCAGTGGGGGCAGCTCTTCCCCCACCCCTCCCCGGCTTCTTGCTGGTGTTTTTGTCCCCTCCTTTTGTGGATTTTTCCTTTTCCCAGCTGCAGCGCTGGGCAGCAGGATGCCAGCACAGCAATGATGCCCTCCCTCCTCTGAGCCCCTCACCCTTCCTACCGACCCCTGCCTCTGTCCCTACTGCTGTTCCTCCCTTTGGGGGTTCAGGGGTGCTCTCCCCATCCCCATTTCCCTCGAGGAGGGTGCTCACGGGGCAGGGAGGGCAGTGAGACACTGCAGCAGTGCCTGTCCCCGCAGTGCCCGCTGGCCTTCCCCTCACCCTCCGCGCTGCCAGCTCAGGGCTGGGGGCGCAGCTGGAGCCCGCCGGTGCTGCGGGGGCTGAGGGCTCGGCTGCGGGCACAGAGCAGGGCTGGGAGCCGCTGCGGAGCCCGTGGCAGCTCCTGCGAACAGCACGGAGCCGCGGGGCCGGGCCGGTCCCACCGGGGTGGCTCTGGGGGAACCCGGGCCCCTCACACCGAGACAGCTCCGGCCCGTGCGGCTCTCGGGGCCCCGGGCCGGTCACACCGGGACGGCTCCGGGCCACACGGGCCCCTCACACCGGGGCTGCTGCGGCTCTCGGGGCCCCGGGCCCCTCACACCGGGACGGCCGCGCTGCCGCAGCGCCTCGCGACACCCGGCGGCGCTTTACGGCCGCGGCGCTTGGCGGCAGCGCGACCCGGTTGGGACGGGGTAACGGGACCCGGCGGGACCCGGGGCGGGATGAGCTTCTACGACGTGTTTCGCGGCTTCTTCGGGTTCCCGGGACGGTGCAGGTGACCGGGACCCCTCCCGTCCCCTGAGTGCCCCCGACCTGTCCGTCTCTCAAGCGCCCGTTGCCCCACCGGCGCCGGGCCTCCCCCGCTTGCCGCGGGCTGTCCGGTGTCTCACTGCCGCGGTCCCGCAGGCCCCGGGACCCGCTCTTCGGCGGCGTGGCGTGGGACGACGAGGAGGATGAGGAGGATGGCGGCCCGTCCATGTCGCAGCCCCCTCAGGACTTCGGGTTCGGGTTCGGCCCCGGCTCGTCCCGCGGCGCCTTCGAGGAGCTGTTCCGGGACATGGGCGAGCTCCTCGGCGCGCTGGGCGGGCTCTGGGCCGAGCCCCGGCAGCCTTTCGGTGGGTACGGGAAGGGCCGAGCGACGCTCTGGGGGTCCCCTCGGCTCGGCCTGACCGCCGCCCTTGTGCTGCCCAGAGCCCGCCCTGCCCGGCCCCGCTGAAGGCAGCGCTCGGCGACCGCTGCGGGACTCGATGCTGAAGCACCCGGAGAGTCCCGCTGCCAGCGCGGCCCCGGGGAGCTCCGGCGATGTGGCCCGGCCGTGGAGACCCTTCTTAGGGGTGGGTGAGGGGTCTGGGCTGTGCCTCCCGCAGGCTCAGCAGTGGTGGCCAGCTCTGTGCTGGTGCTTTGTCGCTGCCGTCAGCGGTGCGGGGCTTTGTCTTGCAGCTGGAAGATGCTCCCCGGGCTCCTCCTGCCCTCAAGGAAGACCAAGGTGGGTGCTGGGAGCAGGGGCTGAGGCGCCTCTGCCCTCCTGCTCCCCCGACCCGTGCTGCCAGCCTCTGGGGAGTGTCCCCACCTTCCATCTCCCCCCAGACCTGGACTCCCAGGTCTCCTCCGCCGGGCTGGGAACCATCCTGAGACCCACCGAGCCCGAGCCCCGCTCTTACTTCCAGAGCGTCTCCGTCACCAAAGTGACTCTCCCTGACGGGGTGAGTGTCCCTGCGGGGCTGCGGGAGGCCGGGGGACGCCGTGCCCGTGGCCGGGGGGGTCTCTCAGGGCTCGGTGCTGCCCGCAGGGCGTGGAAGAGCGCCGCACCGTGCGGGACAGCCGGGGCCGCAGCGAGACGACGGTGACGCGCCGCCGGGGCGACCAGGCCTTCATCACCACCACCAAGGAGGACGGGCAGAGCAGGGACTACCGCGAGGAGGTGGTCAACATGGATGACCGTGAGTGGTGGGGGTGTGGGGAGGACGCAGAGAGTGGGCAAGAGCCCCGCTGAGGGAGTCCTCCCTGCCCTCCCAGGGGAGCTGGCGCAGTTCGCTGGCACGTGGCCACAGCAAGAGGTTCCTGCTGCCAACCCGGGTGACCCCTCCTCTGTGCTGGGCAGCTTCTTCCGACGCTGGTTCTCAAGGTGGTAGCTGTGTCCAGTCCTGGTTGAGCAGCCCGTGTGTGTGACAGGTGCAGGCTGGGGGGACCATGGGCTTGCCAGGCCTGTCAGAGCAGGCAGTGGGCAGCAGGATCTCCTCACCACCTGTTTTTGTTGTAGATGGGTCAGATTTTGCTGGGAAGTGGTGCCTGGGCTGGAGGCTGTCCACCTTCTGCAGCGCTGCAGAGCCACAGGGAGCCCTGTGGGGGTCAAGTGTATGTGTGTACAGAGCAATAAAGTCTATTTATGCTAAATGGTGACTTTCCATGCTCATTCAGACTGGAATCTCACGCGTTTGGAGGCAGATTCCCCTGTCCACCAGGATGACTCTGGGGGGCTGCCTCAGGGGTGCAGGTGATTGCTGGGCTCCTGCATCTGCACTGCTCCCTTCTTAACCTCCCTGTCCCTTTTCCCTGCCTGATGCTGTGCTAATGCCTCCCCTGGGCCACTCATGAGGGCCTAGAGGCCTTTCCAGGACCTCTTCATTAGTGTTGACTGCAGCTGTGGCTTGGGCAGGGATGTGGCAGGGATAAAGGGGGTTCCTGGCCAGGCAATCCCTGTGCCTGCTCAGCCGAGTGAGGTCTTGGCTCCCCACGGCCACTTGGGGATCAGGGTGTTCCTGCCTGGCCTTGCCCTGCTGGGGTGCAGCATTGTCACAAGGTGTCCCCGGCCACACACAGGACTCTGGTCGCTGCCAGGCGTCTCCCGTGGTGCAGCCATGATTGGTTTAAAGTCTGCACATAATCACCCACCTGGCTGTGGGGCTCATAAAACCTGCTGCAAATTAGACATCTACACCACTCTCACCGCTGCCACCGCTGCTGCTGCTGCTGCCTCTGCCCAGCTGGCACTATGGGCACCATTTCTTGCTTGACGAGGGTGCAGGGGCTGATCCGCATCCGGAACCAGCTGGTGAGGGAATGCCTGGCTGAGGTGCTGGCCACCTTCGTGATGATGGTAAGCAGGGCACGCAGGGGGGTGGCATGTGTGTGTGACAGGGCTGGTGGTGTCGTGGTGGCAGGCGCCAGGGGTCTCAGGGCTCTGCTGCTCGGGGTTGGAAGGGTTTGGGGCTGCGCCCCACTCAAATGTGCAACTCGGCGCTGCCTGTCCTCCCTCTTGGACCCTGTTCCCACAGCTTGGTCCACCCTGTGCCATGGCAATCAGGGTGTGGTGCTGGGCAGTGTGTGCTCTGACCCCTCCTGCCTCAAAACAGCAAAAGGTTGGGTGGCATGTGAGTGTGACAGGGCTGGTGGTGTCGTGGTGGCAGGTGCCAGGGGTCTCAGGGCTCTGCTGCTCGGGGTTGGAAGGGTTTGGGGCTGCGCCCCACTCAAATGTGCAACTCGGCGCTGCCTGTCCTCCCTCTTGGACCCTGTTCCCACAGCTTGGTCCACCCTGTGCCATGGCAATCAGGGTGTGGTGCTGGGCAGTGTGTGCTCTGATACCTCCTGCCTCAAAACAGCCAAAGGTTGGGGCTCTGCTGCAGTTCTTAGCATTTGGGCTGCATCCCAGGGTGGCAGATGGTGTGCCTGGGGCTGTGTTGGGGCACCTCTTGCCCAACTCCTCCCCACAGAAAGCAGTTTATTTAATTGCTCATAATTTAGTTACTTTGCCATCAAAACCACAAGTGAGGGCAGTAACCACCTCCCTGCCAGTCCCTGTCTGGTGTCCAAGTATTGGGGAGCAAAACCAGGGGGGCAGCACCAGCACAGCCCTCACCTTGCTGCCCTGCAGTATCAGCAGTGGGAGGGTGTCAGCACGAGGCCACTGGGGCTGAGGTGGGGCTCCATCCCTCTTCTCCAGACAATCACCCTGGGCAGCGCTGCACAGAAGATTGCCTTCTTTGAGACGAAGGGGAACCTCATCACCAGCTACGTGGGAGGCGCCCTGGGTGTCATGGCAGGCATCTACACAGCAGGGGGAATCTCTGGTGAGACAGAGGAAGGGGTTCCAGCTCTTGCCATCCCCTGGCTCTGAGTCCCCCAGGACCCTCCACTTCCAGGCCTTTCTCTACTCCATTGCAGGGGCCCACATGAACCCAGCGTTCTCCTTAGCCATGTGCCTGATAGGGCAGTTTCCCTGGTGGAAGTTTCCCATCTTTGTGGTTGTGCAGATCGTGGGATCTTTCATATCTGCTGCAGCTGTTTACGTCCTCTACTATGGTATGGGGGAGGAGCATCAGACAAGGGGACCCCAGGGTGACGCTGGGGAGGCCAGCCTTGTGTACATGCTCTGCCTCTGCCCCCAGATGCCATCTGGCACCACAGCAATGGGACCCTTACTGTCTCTGGCCCCCATGAAACCGCCTCCATCTTCGCCACTTACCCTGCTGACTTTGTCTCTGTCGCCAATGGCTTCTTGGACCAGGTGGGTGCCACTGCCAGCTCCCCCAGCCCCCTCAGTCCCCGTGGTGCTGAGCTGCTGTGCTGTCCTCGCAGGTGATTGGCACAGGGGTGCTGATAGTGGTTGTCATGGGCATCATGGACCCCCGCAACAAGCCTGTCCCCAAGGGCCTGGATCCAGTGGTTGTGGCTCTCTTGGTGCTCTCCATTGAGTGCTCCATGGGGGCCAACTGTGGCTGCCCCCTGAACCCTGCCAGGGACATCGGGCCCCGGCTCTTCACCTATCTGGCAGGCTGGGGCCCAGAGGTTTTCAGGTGGGTAAAGGGAAGGGGGCGAGGTGGGGATGGCAGGGATGATCCTGAGCCTACCCTTGTCCCATCCTCAGCAGGGGCAATGGATGGTGGTGGGTGCCACTGGTAGCACCGCTGCTGGGGGCCACCGTGGGCACGTACCTGTACCAGCTCTTCGTGGCTTTCCACTACCCGGCGGAGGACAGCAAAGACCTGGCAGAGCAGGGCTCCATCGTTCTGGTCAACACCACCATCGGCGCAGACATTGGGACGTCACCCAAGGAAAAGGACAGTGCTGGGGAGACAGTGCCTGCCCAGTATCCCCCATCACCAAGCGCCAGCAGCACAGTCCCCCGCACAGTCACTTTCACACCATTAAAAGAGTCCTGAGGGCACGGGGTGTCTCGTCTGTGGACATGGTGGTGCAGGGATGTGGTGGAAAACCAGCCGGGCCCGGCTGCAAGGGGGACCCCAGCCTTGGGGGGGCTAATGCGGGGGCTGCCCCAGGGGGACCGGGGGCTGCCCCAGGGGGAGCGGGGATGTCCCCGGCACTACCCCGGCCACCCGTGCGGCTGTCTCTGCCCCGGGACTCGCCCGGAGCCGGCCATCCCGCCGCCGGGGCCGCAGCGTGGGCCGGCGCTCCGCCGCTTCCCCGCGCCCCCCACCTCACTTCCGCCGCCGACCGGCGCCGCCGCGGCCATGGGGAGCTGAGGCGGCGGCAGAGGCAGCGGCCCGCCGCGGGGGCCCGGGGGAGGCCCGGCTGCGGCCCGGCCGGGTCCGCTGGGCCCCGGGGCGGCGTTGCCCCGGTAACGCCGTGGGGCGGGAGGGCCGGGCCGGGCCCCGGGAGATGTCCGAGGGGCGGCAGCGGGTCCGGCGGGGCGGGGGAGCAGAAACGGGGCCGGGGGTGCAGAGATGGGGCCGGGGGTGCAGCTAAGCGGGGCTGGGAGCGCGGACTTTGAGGGGCTGGGGGCGCTGGACTGGGGATGCAGGAATGCAGCAAGGCTGAGGGAGCAGAGGTGTCCTCTGGGCGGGCGGTGTCTGGGCTGGAAGGGTCCGGTGACCTCGGGGTGCCGGGAGATGCAGAATCTGGGAGTACAGGTGAGTAGAGCTGGGGGTCTCGCAGTGCAGGCTTGGGGGCATCTGGGGATGCAGAATCTGGGGGTGGAGTGCAGTTAAGCACGGTTGGGGTTCAGGGTGTGCAGGGCTGCAGGTCCTGGCATGGGAGAGCACAGGACCTCATGACACAGCTGGGGGGACTCCCTGTTCCCTGCCTTCTGGGATTCTGGGGCTGGCTTGGCTCTCAGGACGGAGAGGAGATTTGGGGTGTCGGGGTTCTGGGGGTGTCTGGCTGCAGATACAGGGGGTGTCGGGGCGCATGGGGGTGACGGGGCGCTGTGTTGTAGAGGAGGAGCGTCGAGTGCGAGCCAACGCGCGGGAGTACAACGAGAAGTTCCAGTACGCAGTGAGTGAGGGGCGAGGGGGGGCTGAACCCCTTCCCGGGCTCCTCGGGCAGGTCTGTGGGGCTGGGGTCTGGATCACCCACACCTTGCTGGGGCAGTGGGGAGCGGGGGAGGCGTAGTGAATACAAAATAGATGTTTGTCCCTGGAAAGGTGGTGCTGGTGACATGAATGCCAATGTAGCTGTGGGGCTGGCCGGGCACAGTGCACTCCATGTGGAGGATTCAGCCCGCCCATCCTTGGCCAAGGTCCAGAACCCTCCGGCTCCGCCCAGATCCCAGCCTGGTCCCGCATCCCAGTGTGGATCATGGGGCAGCTTCTGAAGGTGCCGAGGGAAGGCAGTGCTCTCCTTGACCTCGCCCCATGCTGAAGGTTATCCTTGGCTGCTCCAGAGCTGGCTGCAGAGAGGGGAGAAGGGGGTCTGGGTTGGGGTCACCCTTGTGGGGGCCAGGTGCTGCTGCTGGAGGAGGCTGGTCCCAGGGTACCAGCTGGTGACTGAGCCCGAGGAATTGGCTTCCCAAGGAAGCTGCCAGAGGTAGCACAGGAGCAGGAGCCTGACCCCCCCGTGAGTTTTACCCTTACCATGGCAAAAGAGCATGGTGAGCCACAGCCCCTGCCCTCCAGAGTGATCTCATCTTGGGGGGTTATGGGGCTTCGGCAGCCTGTGAACCCCCTTCTTGCCCCATCTGTCCCTAGAGCAACTGCATCAAGACCTCCAAGTACAACATTGTCACCTTCCTGCCTGTCAACCTCTTCGAGCAGTTCCAGGAAGTGGCCAACACCTATTTCCTCTTCCTCCTCATCCTGCAGGTGAGTGCAGTCCTTCCCTGCCTGGACATACTGCAGGGCTCCAAGTAGTGCCGTACTTTGGAAGTGGGGAGGTTTGGCACCCTCCAGCAGGGGCAGTATGGGCCTGAGGCTGGCTGGTTCCTGTGTAATTTCTTGTTCCCTGTCCCCAGCTGATTCCTCAGATCTCTTCGCTCTCCTGGTTTACCACCATCGTGCCTTTGGTTCTTGTCTTAACCATCACAGCTGTCAAAGATGCCACCGATGACTACGTGAGTGCTTCCCCCTGCGCCTCTCTGCCCACTGGGCAGGGGCTTGGGGTGCTGTGCAGGGTGCAGTGTCTGTGGCCATGGCATTTGAGGTGCTGGGGGAGCACAGGACCCCATCCCCAAGAGGTGCAGTGTCCGTGGCCATGGCATTTGAGGATTTGAGGTGCTGGGGGAGCACAGGACCCCATCCCCAAGAGGCTGACACTGCTGTCTCTTCCCCTTGCTCCCAGTTCCGCCATAAAAGCGACAACCAGGTGAACAACCGGCAGTCTCAGGTCCTGATCGGTGGAGTGTGAGTGTCACGGGCACAGAGCAGTGCACAGGGAGCCAGGGACCCTGTGGGACGTGGCAGTGGGAAGGGCAGTGGCCTGACTGCAGTTTGCTGTCCCCTCTGCAGCCTTCGGCAGGAGCAGTGGATGAACGTCCGTGTTGGAGACATCATCAAGTTGGAGAACAACCAGTTTGTGGCGGTGAGTGCAGCCCTGAGACAAGTATGGTTCCAGCAGGGTGGTTGGCACACAGGGACCATGGAAGGGTGTGGTGCCACTCCCACTTTGCTTTTGTGCTCTTCTGCCACTTCCCAGGGTGGGGACATCAGGGACTTCCAACCTGGAAGTTGCATTTAGGTTGGGGCCATAGTGGAGCCATGTTTTGAACTCTGAGGATCTGGGCACTTGGAGCGATGGTGGCTAGGCTCAGGTGCAAAGGACACATGGGGTTAGGGACAGCCTTTGCAGATGCTCCAGGGAGTTTCAAAGACATCCAAGGGCCAGGGGCTTCCCTGAGGAAGGCATGGGGCAGCCCCAGTGTTGGCACAACCCTTCACAAGTCTCTCCCAGCAGGCTGACCTCCTCCTCCTCTCCAGCAGTGAACCCCATGGGTTGTGCTATATAGAGACTGCAGAGCTGGATGGGTAGGTGTCCCTGCTTGCCTTGGGGGGGCAGGGAAGGCAAGAGGTGGGAGTGAGAGTGGGCTGCAGGCAGGGCAGGAGCTGCTGGGCAGCACCTGCAAAGGCTCTCCCTGCCAGGCTGTCTCTAACCCACATGTGGTGCCTTCCTGCCCGCAGAGAGACCAACATGAAGGTGCGTCAGGCCATCCCTGTCACCGCAGAGCTGGGGGACACCAGCCAGCTGGCTCGCTTTGATGGTGAGTGCCTGTGCCCAGCCCTCTGCCACGGGGCAGCCCCCACGTTCCTTCCTCTGTCACCCTTGGTAGGTGACAGAGGTCCTTGACAAGGACCAGCCACGTGGCACTGTCATTCTGCGGCTCGAAGCGGATCTCTGGGGAGCCAGGGATGGTGCTGGGAGCACTGGGATGGAGCTGGCCCTGTGCAGAAGGCAAGTCCCAACTGAGCCATACTGTGCACCCAGGTGAGGTGATCTGTGAACCCCCCAACAACAAGCTGGACAAGTTTGGTGGGACACTGTACTGGAAGGAGAACAAGTACCCCCTGAGCAACCAGAACATGCTGCTGCGGGGCTGCGTCCTGCGCAACACTGAGTGGTGCTTTGGCCTCGTCATCTTTGCAGGTGGGCTGAGGCAGCAGCTGCTGCACACAGGGGAAGGAAAGACACCCCCTGATGCCTTCCTGCTCCCCAGGACCTGACACAAAACTGATGCAGAACAGCGGCCGGACCAAATTTAAGCGGACAAGCATCGACCGGCTGATGAACACGCTGGTGCTCTGGGTATGCAGCAGGGAGATCCTGGGAGCCCTGGCTCTGACCCAGTCAGGGCTCTGATGTACTGTCCTGTCCCCAGATCTTTGGGTTCCTGGTGTGCATGGGAGTGATCCTGGCCATTGGCAATGCCATCTGGGAGCACGAGGTGGGCGTCTGCTTCCAGATCTACTTACCCTGGGACGAGGGGGTGCACAGTGCCTTCTTCTCTGGCTTCCTCTCCTTCTGGTCCTACATCATCATCCTCAACACTGTGGTGCCCATCTCGCTCTATGTGAGGTAGGGCAGGGGGCAGAGGGGCTGGGCAGGGGCTGTATGAGAAATTCGGGGTGCCCTCTGGGGAGGGGAGACAGGGATGGAGATCCACAGGCAGAACAGTGTGTTCTGTGGGTGGGTGTGGGCTACTCTCTTGGTGACAGGCCATGTCTGCCTTCAGGGACACCCCAAGACCTGAGGACCCCACAGGTCCCTCAGGGCCCCCCTGGCTGTGTCTGGCTGCTCGTCTCCCCCTGCCCTGGCTGCACGCTGGCTATTTTGCTCTGCCCTCCTGCAGCTCCCAGGCTCCTGCACTGTCCCCTTCTCTCTCTCTTTTAATTTCTCTCTCTTTTCGTTCCCCAGCATGGGTTCTGTCACCCTTAGCCCCGAGGTAAGAATGTGTCACCTCCACCCCTCCCACTCATTGCTGTCTGCCCTGTGGGCTTGGGAGGGGCTCAGGGTTTGTAGGTGTGTGAGATGCCTGGGGAGCCCCATGGGCTTCCCCCTGGGTGCCTTGCCTTGATCCCCAGCCCTGGCTTAGCGGTGGCTGTCAGCAGGAATGGGTTCCCAGCCCCCGGGAAGGGTGTGGGAGCTAGCAAGCCGTGGGGGGCACCGGGGGTGCTGGAGTGCCCAGGGCACTGAGGGTCTGGGGTGGGCATGTGTGTGCCTGTCGCTGGCTCAGCAGAGCGTGCTGCCCTGCCCCAGTGACACCCAGCCATCGTCCCTGCAGCGTTGAGGTGATCCGGCTTGGGCACAGCTACTTCATCAACTGGGACAAGAAGATGTACTGTGCCAAGCGCCGGACGCCGGCTGAAGCTCGCACCACCACCCTCAACGAGGAGCTGGGGCAGGTGGAGTACATCTTCTCTGACAAGACTGGCACCCTCACCCAGAATATCATGGTCTTCAGCAAGTGCTCTGTGAACGGGCACAGCTATGGTGAGCGCCAGATGCCAGAGCCAGGCTGGGGCTCCCCACCTGTGTTTGGTCAAGGGTCAAGGCAGTCAGGGTACAAGGGAGAGCGTTGTGGG